TGTGAAGTTTACTCATTTATGGTAAAGAGACTAATATTTATTTGACATCTATAACCTATTTCTATTCTTAGTATGAATTTCGTAAAGAAATCGTTTTTAATATTAAAAAATTGTAAACAATCAATGTTTTCTATTGCCCCTATATATATATATATGTGTGTGTCAAAACTTACTACTACTACACATAAATAAAATTTTCATATTAATACAATTTTGTACCATAATTAATTGCTACATATCATATAGTAATTTAAAAATATAAAAACTCTTTTGAATTAGAGATTACTTAATATTTTCGTGAAATTAAATGTCTAAAGGCTTAATAAAAAATTAGGGTCGATTTCAATTCGTATCGTGCTTTGAGTAGTCGACCTGTGGACCCCTGGGAATAGACGCCGTCGTAGTATTTATAAATTGGCTTCCGCTTTGAGCAATGGTATGCTGCGGGAACCCAGGGTAATGTCTTTGACTTGACATTTGTAAATACGGAGACGAGTAAGGATGATGTAAAACGGTTCTCTGTTGTGCTAAACGTTGCTGTTGCTCTTGAATTGCAATTTGCGCACGCTTACGTGTTAATTTCGCAAAATCTGTGATGATTTTATTTTGTTAAGGTGACCTTCTTTCTGATGTAAAAAAAAAAATTTTCATCATTATATTATACACTCACGCAATCCACACGCGTTACATAACGTTCTTGCCCCATCTGGTCCTCGTCGCCATTCAGGTGTCTCTTGAATGTTACATGAATGACACCTTCCTGGAGGGGCTGGTCTTTTCTAATGATTCATAAAGTTAATATAAGGGTGGTTTTCGGAATTCTGTCACACTTTTTCGTGAAACTTACCGTTCTTTTTCGATACTTTGGACGTGCCGGAGAAATACCCGCACTCGTTCTTTTGTTTCTAATTAGATCAATTTCAGTCTTCAAAAAAAAAAAAAAGAAAAGAGGAATAAAGTAAATCAATTATATTGAGATTACGCCGACAAGCGAAATCATCTCAAAATACAAACCGGGCCACGACGATTCGTCTCATCTTTCAAAGCATTTAACACGTAAAGAACCTCAAAAGCTTTATTAATCATTTCGGTAACGTGCGCTTCCGACGGAAGGGGGGCTGCTGGTTGCATCGGCCAGACATCTGGTCGATGATTGCCAATGCGACTACGTATTTCACCATACTGGGCGGCGAATTGACTAATAAGGGCACAATGGTCAATTATCTAACATTTCATAATGAAAATCTTTAGATTAACCAACCCGGTAAGCATCATTTAAAATGTTAAGAAAAAGAGAAGGAGGAATGAACCTTTTTCAAGTCGGCCATTGTCTTTTCATTCCCTCGATTAACAGATTGGTAAACGTCCTTTTCAAAGGAAGCACGATAGTGATGATACTCTGAAGGAAATCCATTGGACGCTATAGCGGCATTATATTGCATGTTCTGTTGTTGCAATTGTAATGTGGAACTCTGCTTGGAATCATCTCTCGAAGGCATACCGAGTTGTTGCTTTGATGGTGACATTTGTGTGGCATCGCCTTCGGTTGAAGATGAGCGTTGTTGACTCTGCTGCCATTGGGATTGCTGATAAGTTGGTGAAGGTGTAAACGAACTATCTGGATATGGAGCCTGAGAAAGTATTTTAAGTTCGTTAGAAATTTTAACACATGACTTTTTGATTATGACAAACTTACGACTGACTCTGGTGGCGAAGGTCTATGTTTCGAGGTAAGTGCATTCAATGAAGAATGAATGTTTGGCGATCTACTTTGCTCGACATGAAGGTTCGAATTGGTTCTACTCAAACTTGGAGTGGTAGGGGGAGGGCTAGGGTGTAAATGAGTAGGTTGCGGAGATTCCAAGGATAAGGAACGAAGATTTAATAGCGAAGGTGAATTACTAGCGGAATTCTTATCGACAGAATTAAGCTTAGATTGTAAATAAGGTTGGCTTAACGCGGTAGGATTATCTTGTTGCTTAGATGATTTTTCAGAAGGTTTTGATATGGGATGTAAAAGCGACGAGATTGAAGGCAAAGTGCTCTTATTTTTAGGTGATTCGACCGAATTTGTATTTGAAGCTGTACTTGTTTTTGGAAAAGACGCGCTAGAGGACATTATTCTCTCGATTGGAGGCAAAGAACATATTGAAGCAACATCCATATTGGTTAAATTATATTACGCTTTGCTAATAGACGAATATGAAGGAGAAAAAAAGAAAAAAAAATCAAGATTGTTTGAAATTGTGTCATTAAAAGCACAATTCATTATGAGATGATAACTTAGGTAAACAAAGAAAGTTATTTTTACCGTTATATATGTATAACTTCTGTAGTATGCTGTAATTGTACTGTCGACAGCTCTAAAGGTATAGATTAATAATATTTTGATAATTTTTATATAAATTTTTATGAATTCTAAATTAATAATGAAATGTGAAACGATTAAATTTAAAGTTAAAATCAAAGCGCGTTTGGTGCGCATGCAAATTTACCGGTCTATTTTATATAAAAGGACTGACACAATAAAAAAAATTTAAAATTTTTTTTTTTTTTTTTTTTTTATAATACCGCCAAAAGAACATTGGGCGGAAGAAAAGGTTAATCAGTGGCAACACTTTTGAAAAAGTGGCGGGGTTTACATTTTTAATGATTATTTTAAAGCTTTTTTTTTTTTTTTTTTATATACGACCAATCAATAATATTAAAAAATAGTAAAGTGTTAAAAAAAAAAATATTTTAATAGGATTAAACCGTAATCTATACAATGCAATATTATGTAGTAATAATTATATACTGTAACATAAAATCTTAGTTATATAATTATATATAATAAATATATAACATAATATATAATAATAGTATATAACATAATATAATATAATAAATATAATGTAATATAATAGAATTTTCGACTATCAACGATTTTAACTCAGTTGGTGGGGCTGCAAAGTAAATCTAATACCTTGCTTGTTAGCCGTCTCTTAAACCAGTGCCACAATTGTTTCACCGCGCAAAATGCAATTCTATTATTCTATTTTAATTTTAAAAAAAAATACCAGGTATTTATAAACAAGTATGTTGTAAGCGTGTTCGCATGCAATGAGTGACCTAGTTCAAAAGCTGGATTTCCAACGTTAGCGACGGGTATTCCCTAGTTGGAGATTTGTCCGAGATGTACCACATACGTTTATGCTTTTGTTGAAGGTTGTTTGGATGTTTTTAAAAAACAATCGCTTGCCGTAACGCGAATTGTAGAAATCGAATTAACCCAACAAAAAAAAAAAAAAAAATTCTTACACGTCCGAATAGGGTCAACAGTTGCATTATATAGCTTGGTATGATCTGGTGAATGGGAGGGAACTGATCGGATCGACATCACACTCAATCTGTTATTCATCACCGGGTCAAATTTGGTTAAGCCAAAAAAATCCAAAAGGGCTGTGAATTTGATTACTTCATCTCGTAATAAATCTAACCAAGCGATTTCGTTTGATACCTTTCCATTTAAAAAATGAAAAGGATCTATTTGACATCTTTTTGTATAGCAGGACAGGAAAGTTACACACATATCGAGATTTCAAAAATCCTTGGCATTATCTTGGCATGTACTTGTGGTTTAAACTATAATCGATGCTGACTCCCGTCAACCACAGACGCATTCACGTAATTGTTTTTAAAAGATTCGATTCTAAAAATAAAAAGTTACTTAAAAATAAATAAAACTGCAGATTAGATTGATCACGTGAATCACACGGTTTTTGTCAGCGTTACTTTCAGTGTGATAAAAACGAAATGAACATGTCAGTCGATGATGTAAACAAACTGAAACAAATAAAAAAGTTCATACATTTTTAAAAATCGTTAATGCAGTAATGGCGCAAGACATTATTATTAATGGCCACAAGATGGTACAAGATTTACAGGATCCTACATCGGAACTTCTTTAAAATAGAAGTTTTGTGTAAAATTTACATGTAATCCCTTTGCATTTACCAATGAAACGGAATTAAAAGTGTTTTTTGGTTGGTTCAAGGGATCGTCAATTTATTTTTATGCACGTCAATGATCTTTTTTAGAATTAAAAAAACCAATGTCGCACAATCTAAATTTTACAAATCGAAATCTAAATGCAGAAAAAATCGACATCATTTATTTTTAGTTCATTTGGAAAAAAAAAATTAATTTTTTTATTATCATCCCTAAATTTGGTAATTGTTTATTACCCACAACGCATAGTGGTTTTTAAAATTCAGTAAGCTCTTTTTAATGCTCTTTTTTTGGAAAGTTGTTGCTTCAAAACTTACTTTGCCTCGTCAAAGACTTTGAGTTTGCATGCGTTTTAATAAAGATATTTAATGTCTTTTTGATCAAATTCTTTTTAGGTTTGGTCAAAAAGGGTGTTATTAGATTAAATTTCTCGGATCGATCTTTTACGTATATTTTTTTAATATATTATTAAACAATAATAATGACTAAGTTACGTTTCTATAATTGTTGTGGAATCATTGACTTACAACGAGGTAAGAAACAAATAAAAAATTCCATTAGATCGGTTCAAATATAATAATATGTACTTGCACAATTAATAAAATTTTCTCTTGACATCAGGTGTTGTTCTTATTACAATATTTGCTTTGGTAACCTTACATGTAGATTATAATGTTGTGCCTAACATATTGTCATTTTATTAATATAAATTTTTTTTTTGATTTTAAAGCTTAATAAAATTTCCGGTTTTTTCGGGATACCAACAATTTTTGATGGAGGTGGAACATCATCCATCATTTCATATATATATTCGATAATTGCATCAATAGCAATTACATATTTTCTGCTTTATGGCGTTTTCCCGGTATTTTAATTTGCCTTTTTTTTTTTTATTTTTATTTTTATTTTTTTTTAAAAAAAAAAGAGGTATAAAAATCTAAATGTTTTCACTATTTTATTTTGAAAAGGAAAATCCGAAGATTATCAGATACTATTCTCATTTTTATTGGATGGATTTATTCATAAATGTATTATTTACATCAATATTTGGAATTTGGTGGTATTTGATAACGGACCATTTATTATTGGCGGAAACTGAAAAACCGAAACAAAATAATGAATTGATTAATAATAAGGAGGCAGTTAAAGTATTGGAAACTTCAACGTTACCAGCATGGAAAGCTGAATCTGCCATTGCAATCATTATTTTGATCTCAACAGCACTTATACATGTATGTCTTTTTCTTGTTTAATGTGATTGTAATATTATTGTGTATAAATGACCTCATTTTTATTATTATTATTTATTTATTTATTTTTTTAAAAGGGTTATTTTGCTCTTGTGATTCATTCTTATGCAAATTTCGTACAAAAAAAGAAACCCTATTATCCTTCTTCAGGAATTATTCCTGTTCCGCGTGTATCAGCATCCGGGACATCATTATTGAAACCGGAGGATAATTCTCGTAGACATTTAAGTGTTGAGTTGGAAGATGAGGAATTACCATTTAATTATTAAGAACATTGTATTGCATTGTATTTAATAGGAATATATATATACATTAGTATATAAAATCATTTGTATATTTTTAAATAGAATTAATTTATTCATAACAATAAATATATATAAATATATATATTATATCAAACGGGTAATATTAATATTGTTTAAGATTACACGATATTGATTTTACACTTTCTATTATATTTTTATTATACAGAACCCTAATCTTTCAAGACTTTATTAGAAATTCAAACTTTTATTGAAATTATAATTATTTCTATCTTTAATGAAGTAAAATTAATTAAATACCTATTTTTATTTTATTTTATTTTATTTTAAAGGATATTATATTAATTAAAGTGAAAATTTGTTTAACTAGTAATTAAAAAAATAGGGTTATATCTGCCAGTGTATAATATATTACAGTATAAGAAAACCTCCGGTCATTAAAGGTTGACCGCAAACTATAAGTCCACCATTTATTTTATCTTGACCCAATTCTAGGATTCAAAAAGATGTTATAACTATATATAAATTGTTGTTTATATATATCTATATATATTACATTATTCAGTTCATTTCCATTGTATCTTGTTTTTGATATTCTTGTCTAAATCTCCAACTCTTAATATTTAAATTTAGATTTGAATAATAATTCTTCAATGCTATCGTAGAGGATTAATCAAAAATGAATTAAGGTCAGTTAATACAACAAATGTATTTAAAAATTTTTATTAATTTGATTATTACCTTGTGTTGAAAATGTTTCCTTGTATTTTACTCTTATATACCAAAATGGCACCCCAGCAAGGATGAATCCAATTGCTGCGAGTGACTGTAACGGAACACGCGCGAAAGGCATTATGACTAAAAATATGGCCACGCAACAAAATATAATGGGAGTGCTAAGCCAAACCTTATATGGTCTATGATTTCAAATAAAGTTATTATAATTTTGAAAAATTTTCATCATAATCAGTTATTTATTTATTCATGCTGACCTTCTTAGATCCGGTTCTCTCCATCTTAATATTAATAATCCAAACGAAGTGAGAAAATAAAATATCCATGCAGCAACAGAAACAAAATTTAATAATGTCAGAAAAGTTCCCGGAATTATCATTACTATGGTCAATACTGCTTGCATAATTAAGGCTGCCGTAGGGGTGTTCCAAGTTCCATGCACCTTTCCAAGGAAAGCGGGCAAGTAACCTTCGCGAGCTGCAACATAAATCAATCTTGACCCCGTGAAAATACTTCCATTCGCTGCACCAAAGCAACTAGCAGCAACACAGAGTGCGAAAATGACACCCCCTACGGGACCGAAAACTTTCCTACCAAAATCCTAAATAAACAAGTTAATTATTTTCGATTAACCTTAGATATTAAAAGAAATATACTTACTAATGCTATGGTATTTGTATTGGTGACCACGGATGATGGTAATACAGCGTAATAAGCGACATTCGCCAACGTATAACATACTATAACTATCGGTAACCCAACCATTATTACACGTGGAAGGTCTCGCGCAGGATTTTTCATTTCACCAGTAACATAATTTACATTATTCCTAAACGAAAGATCGTTTAATAGAGAAATCTATAACTCTTAGTGAAAGATCCAAATGAAGAAATGCATTAAGAAACTTAGATATTTGAAAACCTACCATCCATCATACGCCCAAAGACCTAAATGATATATATTGTTTTCGAAATGAATATACTTTGGATGAGAATCCATCGAAATGCGTAAGATAATCTAAATAAACTAACCTGAATAAAAAGCTAGTGCATAGTCACTAGTTCTCGTTGAACTGCCTTCAAATACATCTCCTTCAAAATTATTTGTAAATCCACCTTTACCTAACACAACGAATCCTATTACAGCTATCACGGCCAAAGTGATTAATTTCAAAGCGGTAAATATGTCCTGTGTTCTAGTAGCCAGACGAACACTATATGCATTTATAAAAGAAATAATTATTATGCATAAAGATGCCACTATTTTGTTTAACCAAACACGAGTTTCATCTGGGAGATTCACATTAAAGGCTGAATGATAAACGATACGATTTATATATTCTGCAAAAATCACTGCGATAATCGCATTGCTCCCTGGCTATCAAAAGAAATACTTGATCAGAATATAAATTAAATTCAAAATTTTTAAGGTTAGTTTTCCAAGGTACCTTTAAACAAGTTATGGCTGTCCAACTGTATAAGAAAGCCAATAAGCTTCCATATGCATGATTTAAGTATGCATGTTCACCTCCAGATAGTGGGATTTCAGATCCTAATTCTGCATAGGTAAGTGCTCCCGTACAAGCTAAGAATCCACAAACTATCCATACAACTAACGACATTCCAACTGATCCCGCATGCAATGCAACAGGACCTGGCGATGCAAAAATTCCAGAACCAATCATCAAACCAACCACTAAAGTCAGTCCATTAAAGAATGTAACTTTCTTCTCTAAACTTGTAGGACGTCTCTGCGTTTCTGTTAAACTTAGTGGTATTAGATGATCGTCGAAATCAAAAACGTCGCTTTGTCGATCACTTGATTGTATAAACGTTTGTTGGTCATCGTCACTCAATTCAAAAGAATCGTGACGTTCCGTGTTTAATAAATTACTTTCCTCCGTTGCATCGAAAATAACAGCTGCTTGTTCTTTTTCCTGAGTAGACATTATTTATCTCCAAAATTGTATATTATTAAGAGCGAAAATTTTAAATTAGATCTTATACATGAGGATGTTACACGGACGCAAATTTTAAATTGATAGGTCGATCATGATTTTTTTGATTATATTTTATTAAATTTTACTTTTATTTTTCAACAAAAAAGAAATTAACCCGGAATTCAAAATTATAAAGTTTATCCGCGAAACACATGTTCTAAATGTTGATTTGCCCTTCCTGTTATTACATCAACTTCATATTCTCATTATCATTAATTTCATCATCGGTATTTTCAACAAAGCTACGAGATCCAAGTCCAATATTATCTTTGTAACTTCCACTTTCAATATTTCCCATTAATGCAAAATTTTCTAAATTGTTAGGTATGTCATCTTTAATTGTCGATGATGGAATTTTATATTCTTGGTAGATTCTATAAAACAATAAAATGATAATGTCAATGATAATATATGTTTCGTTGAAATTTTTTTTTTTTTAAAAAAAAAAATTCTTACGATATCGAGCTTATATATTCTATGATTAATTGTCCCGTTGTCAATCCCGTTACCTGCAAATTTATTAAACCAGCATCAATTCGCTTACAATTTAATAAATTATTCGAATGAAAAACTTAATCATACCACTACTACAAATATTTGTGAATTCATCGACATTATTAATAACATATAAAATAATCTTAATGTTGTTAACAACCCATAAAAAAAAGTCCTCTTTGCGATCGATCTAAATCTTTTTTGATTTCGATCATATTTTGCATTTTCTCGATGATAACTTAAAAACCTTTCGCACCAACACAGTAAAGTGATGAAAAGAGAAGCAAGTATAAATGAAATTATAGAATTTACTTGAAAACCGGAAAATAATGCAACGATTTTGGATAAATCTGTTGTGTTAACAAATGTTAGTGAAAATATTATATCATCATGACTTTCTGACTGTTTATTGTAAATCTTCTTACCATTAGAAAAGTAAAGTTTATTGTGGCCTGAACTTGTATGTCCTGGCATTTCTGGCATTTTTTCCATTGTTTCCGACATTGTAAAACATTTATCATTGCTAAAAGTCAGAATAAAAAACTTGGGGGCTTATCGGTTCAATAGAATTTATGGTAATCATCGGTACACAATATTTTAAGTACATTATTATTAAAAATTATTCCCGCTTTTTTATTTTTCCTAATATAAACATGGGGATCGTCTGCAAGGAGCCAAATTTATATAAAACAAATTAATTTTTATTGATTAATTATTTGTCCCTTCAAAAGATTTTCAAATTTATATAGCAGGTTTGAATTAATATTTTTAATCAATACTGTTGAGAAAAGAATAATGAAGAATGAAGAAGAAGCATAATAAAAATTTGAGGAGAAAAATACAATTACAAAAGGTATTAAGGAAGAGATTCTTGAACAAATAAAATTAATTTGTAAAAAAAAATTCTCTGAGTAAAAGAAATGCATTAAAGCTATAAATCTCATAAAATATGAACTTTGACGATTACACCGTAAACTATTTTGTTTCTTCTAAGTAACTGGCCTTAAGTTTAGCATAAAACTTTCATTTACAAGAAATTTGACATTTAAAATTAGTATTTGCAGATTTAGCTGATTAATTAAATTATTAGTTTAATTTAAAGAATCTTGTATATGCTCATTTTTTATGTGAGTGATCTAGTTATTTTGTATATACTTATTTTTTTTTTTTATCTAAAATATAATAATTAAATAACATGCAATCTTTATGAGTTATAATAATTAAACACAATATTTAAGGATTGATTCTTTTTAGAATAAAGGATTATATTGTACAGATTTTGATAATATAACTACCTGCTCAATAATTGAGTTGATATTGATTGGCTCTTGCAATTACACAAAAGTCTAGATAAAGTCTAAACATAACAAATAGTCTCTATTCTTTAGTATTGTTTATATAGCAATATAAGTAATCTATTATTATTTGTAGAATCAAACTAATTGAAATAATATTCTAAACCATTAACAATAATTTAGAAATAAGTAATATAATTAGATAAATTAAATAGAATTTTTTTATATAATATGTATATATTTTAAATAAATTTGATTTTAATGTTAAATTTTATTAGAAGATAACATATAATACATAATTTATCATATAAATGTTATTGAGATCATTATTCAACCAGTCGCATGTAACTTAGATTAGGTTATGAAGGTAACTTTATAGTCTGCCGGTGTCTTCATAATATAGTGGTAACTTCATAGTCTACCGGTATCTTCATAATATAATGATAACTTCATAGTCTGCTGGTAGCTTCATAATATAGTAATAGCTTCATAGTCTGCTGGTAATTTCATAATCTAATTACATAATCTGGTAGTAATTTCATAACCTAATATCATAATCTGACAGTGACTTCATAATCTACGTATGGGTATCTCTTTTGCGTTTATAATATTATTTTAACTGTTTCCTGTATAATATGGTGGTAACTTCATAGTCTAATGGTAGATGTAGTATTTTAATTTAATGGTGATGTCATAATCTAATAGTGATTACTTTCTTCTTATTTCTGAGTTATTTACATACTAAATTCTATAATGGGAGCTGTTGACCCTCTGTAGCTGTTTGGATACCTGGTTTTATGTTGAAGATGCTGGGCTCCTGCATCTGATTGATGCTGGATTCTATATTAAAGTGCTTTCTCTTTACGCCTATTTAGTTACCTTTTTAGGGGCTGAAATAGTGTAAAAAAAGATGACAGATAGCGCGGTTAATTTGCTACCTCTATTTTCAATAACAGCCTGTCATGCAAAATTCAATACATAATTTTACGAGATGTTGTTAGACCATTGTTACAAAACGAATAAGTATAATGTTTATCTTATTTATTTTATAAAGTATATTCATATTCCGTAAGTGTTTCTATCATATTTCATTTTAATCGAATATAGAATAAATGTCAGGCATGGTATATCCATGCGAGTATTACATGTAAAAAGTTCAATTCGCATAACTTTCAAGGGATCATGTCTGACCCATTTGATTATCAGAATAAAGTGATTTTAAGGTATACAATTTGAAAGGTCGAAGCTGATGCCATTTTATAACCCAACTATTGCCTATTTGTTGCTGGTATATTGACGGGATGTTGTAAGCACTTCTGAGGTTTGATCATAGTTTAATCTAGGTTCGAGGCAATGAGTATGCTATTTTTTTTGAGCGTCACTAGTATTACCAGTTAATATACAGAACTAGTGACAGAACTAGTAACACATTCATTATTTTTCTTGAGGTTATTAAGCTATTTCAATTCTTTCATAATTAGTGTCACTAGTGTCACTAGTAAAAGAGTAATAAATTCTAGGAAAAAATTGAAATTTTTCTATACTCAGCCTATATGAGATATAATATAATGAATGTATGATATATATGTGGTGTATATTGATTAATAATCTCAGTAAATTAGTTTCATTTTAAACTTTTTTCCTGCAAACAATATACCTTGAGATTTGGTATAACTATAAATCTTTCAAAAAAATGACTCAATCTGAGCTTTTAGAGTTCCTCAACGCCTCTGCCCCGCTTTTTCATCTAAAGGCTGAAAAAGATAAAATAGAAGCCCAAGTAATTTGCTATTCTGGTGAAAAATACTTGTTGGGCCTTTCAACTCTGGATGATATAGTTGCAGAAAATGATGAGGGATTAACTTTAATACTCAAAAATGCTTTATCTAAATGACAAGATATTTCATTTATGACCATTGAGAATGAAAGATTGATTGAAAGGATAAATGGAACGTACCACTAGTTATTGCGTCTTTATAGTCGTCTTATTAATGACCAAAAGGCACTAGTAACTCTTAAAGACATTCAGATATTCTTTGACATTCTTATATTAGATGACGAATCTTCTGATGAATGCAAAACAAAAATAAGAGATATTTTATCTGGTAGTGTGAAGACATTTTCAGTAGAGCATATTAAAGCATTTTCTTTTCGTGACTATCATATGAGAAAAAAGTCATATTTGCGAATTTATATAAATAGTACTAGCGGTAGAAAAGCTGTTATTAAAGCTGTTCAAGATAATAACTTTAAAACTGCATCAGATGATTTATATTCATTTCACTATAAGATAGCCTGAGAGAATGGTATTCAACTCTCTGAATGGTCTACAATAAACAAATATATTTACAAGCAAGACAAAGGGACCAGCCCGCTCTGTTTACATAAATTCTATATATCTATAAAAGATTTCTGTTCGCTAGAAAATTTTACAACAATAAGCGATCGATTCCCTATTTCAGCTCTCTTACGAGATCGTACTCTTGTTCTCACGTGGGATATAGAGACCTAATTATAAGAGTTGAGTAAATTTGCTGAAGTCCTTGATATGAATCACAATGTTTTTATGATCGGCATAACATTGCATTGGAAAGATAATCTAAAACCGCTAAAGAAAATATGTCTTGTCGATGTTGAGACAGAATCAGATTCAGGATGCATCACAATCATATGTGGAAACTAAGAAAATCTGCTAAAATCTTTCGCTTTCTGCTGGCGAGTATTTGCCCCTGACATCCTAGTTGGATTTAACGATTCAGACTATGATTGGCATTTTATTATGGAGAGAGTATATCATCTCAACATACTCGAATGGATGTGAAAACGAATGATAGGAAAGTTCGAAACAAAGGAAGAAATTCTAAAGTGAAAATATCGTGGAAAGATAGGAGTGAAATCTGAAAATGATTTTATGAAAAAGTATCCTGTTAAGGCTTTCAAGGAAGGTGAAGAGGATCTAAAGAAAAAAGAATATATGGGTGGTCCAATTAAGATCAAAATTAGTGCAGAAGATGATTTTACTTTTAGCTTTCTTAAACTGCTAGGTTGCGTACTGATTGATGTCCAAGTATGCCTCAAAAAATGTTCCCTTATTCTGAAGTTGAAAAGAAAAGTTCACTTAAATTTTTCTTACAAAAGTGTGGTCTTGACAGTAAGGCCGACATGCCATATGATAAAATGTGAAAAATCTATTCAGAGGCGAAAAAAAGCCCCTCCTCAACAACCACGAGAAATATGCGTAAAGTAGCACATTACTGTATTATAGATACATTACGCTGTCAAGAGCTTTTGATAAACTAAAGTATAATAAATGATTATAGAGAAGTTACCTCTATAGCTTATGTTTCTTTTTTTGACACACACTATCGCGCAAATGAAATGAAGATACAGAACCTTCTCAGAGCATATACTATCAAACGAGATATGATAATAAGTACAAGAGTTCCTGAAAATATAGAAAAAGGAAAATATCCTGATGCGTACGTATTTTCACCTAAAAAGGAATTGAAAGTAGAAGACCTATAACAGGATTAGATTTCGCTTCATAATATTCTAATATTATCATAGCATATAACCTCTCCTCAAAAAAATTTATATTTGATCCAAAGGATGTTGATATTGCGCAAAATAATAGAAATAACTTGCATAAGATTGAGTTTTCATTTAATAATCATATCATTCAAGCTTAGTACATCCGCCATGATAACTAACTGAAAAAGAAAGGCCTATATCTGGCCATATTAGAAGATTTATTTAATAAGAGGTTAGATCTTAAAACACGTCTAGCCCCACTAGGAAAGAAAAAGAAACATCTTGGAAAGATGATAAGTTCAGTTAAAGAAAGAGACAAAAAGATTCCGGAAAGCTTAAATTTAGAATACTCAACTATATGTAGGGATGTTAAGGTCTGTGGCCAGACCAGTCTGACTCTGGTTTGATCATAGAACTGGTTTCAGTTCGATTTGAGAATCAAATCAAACTGAAACTGAACTGAGTCAAACCGGTATTTAGACCAGTTTAGACGATCAATCTATATAAATGCTGTGTCATATAAATTATAAGACGCATTGATCATTTTAACTAGAATAATTTTCATTTTGCATTATTGTTTGTATTGTACAATGTCTAGCGGCGTAATTTCAAATGAAAATGATGACAATTTCTCAGATATTTCTTCAACTTCTTTGTAATTGAAAAAGATTCCAATAT